ACAATGGCGGCCAAAGGCGGTGTATGTTGGCTTTACTTTGATCTTTTTGCCTGTTTGGTTTGTCCACATAATCACATATCACGATATGACATGTTAAATTAATAATATGATTTGTCTAGATTGCATCTCGTTCTTCAGAAAGATGATTTCTATAGTTTATTGTCATTAAAAATTTGTTGAGACTGTTGAGACTCGCGGTTTACCTGTGAGTCTTCAGGTTTTGGGGCTGAACCAATGAACTCTAAGGGCTGAACTCCAGCGGGTGTCATGGCTGGACTTACAAATCTCACGCTATTTCAGGAAAATAAATTTTGTTGATCAAATTCAGCATCTTTCAATGCAAGGAATAAGATTTATCATATATGACTGCGCGTTTTCCATTATTAATTTAAATCCAGTGAAAAACGTATGGGGAACTGAGAGGCAGAGCCAGAGGGCTATTACAGGGTAAGAACAAATATATGTTCGAAGAGCGTATGCCTTCTAATCTTTACCTCTTGTCATTTTCTAGTGCAGGAAATAACATTTTCTCAGCAGGAAAGAGCCGAAAGAGTGGAAAGACCATAGAAAGAGAAATTTATGGATGGAGCGTGCCAATAGATTACATGATGATCACTCCCCCCTCCTCCCTCCCCCATTCTGTTTATAATGGCTTTGATGCTAAGATAACCTCCATGTTTTTTGTCATCTGAAATTGGCAGCCCTGATAACGTTGCCTTTATATCATTAATATGAACAAATAGCTTTTAGAAAATGTCATGTCAGCGTGGCGTTTTACGGGCCTTTTACAGCGGCTTTTACTTTACCAGCAGCAACTGCCAGCAAGTCAACAGCCTGGACTCTTTCCGATAACTTATTTACGACCTTCAGTCATCGCACTCCCATGGTCAATGTGCCCCACTGTCAAGCTAAAACAATGGGATTAATGGAATTAACATCCCAGCCAACACTATTTACGGAGCGATTTTTGCTGAACCCAAATATCTTGGGTTAGTAAAACAGTGTTTAACGATTATTAGTATCTTTTAGTTTGGTTCTTTTCGCTCATGGGAATTTTTTGTAAGTTTAATTATTGGACCGGCGCGCTGTATAGAAAATTGGTAATGAGCCGGGTATAATCCAACTAATTTGTGTTGGCATGTACTAAAAGGCGAAACGCCGAAACGAAACAGCCGAAACCACCGAAAATATAAATTACAGGCAAAATGGAAAATGCAAAAGTATTAAAATATCAAATTTACAGGAAATTTTATGATAATTGGGGAGGGGTGGGCAACCCAAAGGACTTTGACTACATTAACACAGAATACTAACCTATTGAGAAAGTCATCTCTGTTGTTTTTTGCGTAAGCGCTATTCGTCATCGATCCGCCCCTCAGCAAGTGCCGTAAACAGAAGTATTCACCCCCTGACGTCATCGCCTTTTTGGGTATTTCCAGGGGGGTGACTGCTTCTGTTAAGGGCACTTGCTGAGGGGCGGATCGATGACGAATAGTGCTTAGGCGAAAAACAATAGAGATGACTTTCTGAACAGGTTAGTATTCTGTGCTAATGTAGTCAACGTCCTCTGGGTTGCCCGTACCCCCGCCCCTCCCCAATTGTCATAAAATTTCCCGTAAATTTCATATTTTAATATTTATGCATTTTCCATTTTTCCGGCTATAATTTATATTTTCGGTTGTTTCGGTCGTTTCGTTCCGGTCGTTTCGTTTCGGTGGTTTCGTTTCGGTCGTTTCGGTCGTTTCGGTGGTTTCGTTTCGGTCGTTTCGGTGGTTTCGTTTCGGTCGTTTCGGTGGTTTCGTTTCGGTGGTTTCGTTTCGACGTTTCCTTTTAGTACATGCTATTTGCGTTGGGCATGTTATGGAGTTTCTAAAGAGAAAATTTAATACGGGAAAGAAACTGGATCTATCAGTCAGTCAGTCAGTCAGTCATGCATGAAATGTTCAGACGGCTAGAAAAAAGAGAGATCTCGGGATCCTGAGGAACATTTGCCTTAGCAACAAGATTGAGCAACATCTTGAATTTTTCATGCGTACTTTAATAAGGGAGAATTTTAAGGAATCATAATTTTAAGGAATCAGAGTCTATTTTGAGACTGCGAATTGTTTTGTTTCCTCAGCAATTTTACAACCAATATAATTGAGGAACATTTGAAAAAGGCAATTTCAGGATCCGAGGAACATTGCACACTTTTTCTAGATCTGGAAATGCTAATGTTGAAGTTATTCATGCATGAAATGCTGTAAATAATGAAGTAAAAGAACTGTTTTCCACTTCAACCGTATTGAAACGTAGCGTGCCAATGATAGCAGTTCCATAGTTCCATCAGGGAACAAAGAAATACGCTACCTTTTAAGGCCGTTTCCCACTTCATCCGTATCGCACTGAAGCGAGTAACATATTTCTTTATTTCCTGAGCACTAGAGTGGGACTAATGACTTTGACACTGAGAAAATGCTATGATACGTTACGATATGGTTGAAGTGGAATCCACTACTGGAAACGGGCAGGTCCACCAAAACGACGGGCAGGTCCACCAAAACAAAGCACTCGGGTGCAGTTATACTAGTAGAAGCACATTTTCTAATGAATCTGAAATGAGGGTCTCCCAGCAGGGGAGTAGGTCCGTGCTTCTGTGTTCTATTGGAATTTTTTTATTTGTTCCCTTGTCCACCACAAACTTACAAAGATTTAACCATGTTCCCTTGTTCCGCCAGCTCACATGTCCCTTGTTTTCCTTGCAAAATATGCCTTGCACATTCCTGTTCTCTTGTTCCCTGGAAACCCCTGGGAGACCCTCTGAATTAAAACATGCTTTCACGATTCGAAATCAAGATCGAAATCCGTCAGAAAAATGTCATTGCTGCCGCAGGCAGCTTCCTATTCTTGTGATTTGTTCCCAGACCTCCTTACCGAGCTATATGAATGCGTCAATGATTTGGATTTAGCATTGTTTGGATGTTCAGTTTTATGACGTTTTGTAACGTAGAAGATATTCGACGGGTCTTTACGGAAGCTACCGGCTGCTCTTCGGGACTTGCCAAGATTTAGCACGAGGGCGAAACTTACAAGTTGGCAAGTATTTAGCAAATATTGCGATTTTTAAGAATTATATCTTCTTGTAAAGTCATTTATTTAAGGTAAGATCAAAGTATTATCTACGATCCTTTTAGTTTAAGAAGAATTTTCAGGAGATTTGACGATTTATTCTTCTATTTATATAGGCTCGCGTTTGATTTTATAAATCTGACAGTGCATATTTGGTGTTGGGAATCATTGTGTTCGCGCTTGTAGTTGTAGCTGATCAATAGATTGATCAGACACTTTGCGTGTTGGTCACAGTGTGGCAACAGGCAACTCAAATAAAATTTACATCAATTCTAAACAAACAAACAGAAACAAACGAGAGCCAATTACCATCAAAACAAACGAGAGCCATTGTACGAAGGTATAACACTATCACGTGACTCAGAGTTACAGTATATATCATTATATAAAACTGCACATTTTACAGACCTCTATTACTGCTGCTGATAGATCAAGTCGCAGTGATAGAATATATTGCATTTGGTTAAATGGGGGTACAATTGAGCAATATTGTGCCTGAATTGGTGCACATTTTAATACTGTAGTTATAGTGTGAGAAGCAATGATCTATTTTGGCATCAGATGTTCTTTTCTCGATCATATAAATATGTTGATGTGAGCACCTGTATATAACCTCCCCCCGCCCTATGTATAAGCCCATCAACAAACGCTTACGAACTTATATAAGCCCAGGGCTTATAATCGGAGGTTTCAGTATGGTATTTGGTTTGTTTAGAATATTTGGTAATTTATCCACACGGTTTGAGTGTTTGACAATTGACATTTGAAATGAGATATTAACTTTAAAACATTGCATTCACTGTTTTACATGGCCAAACAATCTATTAAAATTACATGTTATTTAAGATCAATAATCGACAAGATTCATTCAAACAAAGCTTTATTCGATAAACAAACGAACAGCTAAAAACTAAAGCATGTGGTGTCCGCCATTACACATCTCAATCCCCTATACTTCATGTAATAATATTATAAGTGAATCAACAACAACTATAAACATAATAGCAAATATTAAGGTATTGTTCATCTCCTTCCTCCTAGAGGGAAGTGATCTTTAAGTCCTTGCTTATTGAAGCTTTGTAAGTTCTTTAAAGCTCTTGGGAGTTTTTGTGTGACAGCTGTTTGCTGACTGTCACCTAGTGCAATTCCCTGAGACTGTGTTGGTAGGTTAGAACTACTGGGGACGGAACATTCTGACTCGGGAATGAGAATAGGTGATGCTGGAGTAGAGGGTGCGAGAGTAGGTGGTGCAGGAGTAGGTGGTGCAAGAGTAGGTGGTGCAGGAGTAGGTGGTGCAGGAGTAGAAGGTGCAGGAGTAGAAGGTGCGGACTCAAGAGCAGGAGTAGATGGTGCAGGAGCTGACGCTGGTGGTTCTATGGACAAGGGGTGAATATCTTCTGGGTGGATTGTTGTGTATTCGCGAAGGAATCGCCTATTTCTGAGGATCACTCTTCCAGAATGAAACATTCTAATTCTATACTGCCGATAGGGTAACACTTCTACGATTCTGCCAGTATGCTCCCATCTCTTGGTTCCCCCTTGCACGACCACATTGGTGCCAAGAACAAGGGGCCGAAGCTTGCATGCTGTAGTATCATGGTTCTTGACCAAGATGTGATTTCGCTTGCTGAGTGCTTTTTCACACTCCTTGGCTGTAAGGACCCACTCCTTATGGGGCTGATAGTGAGCAGGATGGGCTGGAATACTGTCACGTAGTTGACGGTGAAGCAAAATTTGGGCAGGGCTCAGCTCGATATCTGGTAATGGAGTGTTACGATACTGGAGTATGGCGCGAGCAGCCGTATCGGTGTTAAGTCCACCATCTGACGAGCGGTTGTTGTGAATAATGCGTTTAGCAGCCTTAACAGCCACTTCTGCTCTTCCATTACTTTGTGGGTAGGATGCTGATGAAAGCCGATGATTGACGCCCCATAACTTCAGGAATTGCTGAAAAGCTTCAGCAGTGAACTGTGGGCCACCATCGGTGCTCAGTTCTTCAGAGACGCCATAAGCGATAAAAAGGTCGCGGAATATGTGCTGGAGAGTCCGATGATTGACTTCGTGCGCTTTGAATGCATAGATGCAAAGCCAGCCGCTGAATCGATCGACAACCGCGAGATATGAGTGGCCCTCGATTTGAAAATAATCGGCACACACTTGTTGAAATGGGTAGGATGGACTTGGAGTTAGCACTAAAGGTTCCGCATGATGGGAGGGTGCATGTCGAATACAATCTTGACAGGTTTCACGGTGGATTTGTATACTTCTGTCCATGCCTGGCCAATACACACACTGGTATGCACGGAATTTCATGCCTGTCGTGCCTTGGTTTGCTGAGTGTAAATTGCTCAGGACAACGTTTCTGAGTTTCGCAGGAATGATCAGGCGTTGATCTAACAAGGCAACACCTTGGAAGGTTGAGAGGCGATGGCGGACTTCCCAGTACTTACGCATACATGCTGGTTCCACTAAGTTGCGCTTCCCAGGAAAGCCGCGAGCAATGAACTTTAGTAACGTCTGATATTCAGTATCTGATCGAGCAGCAGAAACAATATGATCAAACGTAACACTACCAATCTGCTGAAGGGCACAAGCACTGGCCATGTGAGGAGCATCTTCGACGTTGCTGCATTGCATCATATCATAATCTGAGACTTGTTCCCGGATGTCTTGGAGAGCCGCGGCAATTGTTGTTGAATATCTGGATAGTGCGTCGGGACCCTTGGTCCACTTGCCCGGACAATGAATGATAGAAAACCGCCATGGAAGTGTCTTCTCCTTAAGGCGTTGTACTCGCGGGTTGCAGATCCGATCCAGGGCGCGGTCGTTGAGGATCCCTAGTAGCGGCTTGTGGTCAGTTGCGACTACAAGGTTAGGGCACCCCAGAGTGAATAGTCTGGAGTGTTCAAGGGACCAGGCCACTGCCAATGCCTCACCCTCTGTGGGTGCATAGTTGCTTTCAGCAGGATTTGTGAAACGAGATCCTGCGTGGATAAGTTTCCAACCATTTTCGCAACAAACAGGAGACACAATAGCACACCGACAATGCTTTTGTAGCAGAAGGTAACCGACCCCGTCTTTACTCCAATCTGGTTGGATACAGGTGGTTCGGGAGATGTCGTACGATTGCACCCCGTCTTTCACAAGGTCGATGAGGACGGACTTGGATGACTCGAACAGAGTATCTAAGGTATCGTCCCAGTAGAACTTTTGATTTGGTTTAATAAGCTCACGGAAGGGTTGCATAATGGGGCTGATAGCATGGGCCCAAGCGACTTGATTCACAAGTCCAAACCAGGATCTTGCACTGGTAAGGTCGGTTGGTCTAGGAAAATCACAGATCGACGACAAGGTTTTGGCAGAAGGGGTGACTCCAGTGGGAGTGATTGTCAATCCGGCGAAGTCGACCGTGTTTTGGCAAAATTTGAATTTCTTAGCATTAACCACAACACCATTGTTCGCACAAAGTGTAAGATAGTCCCACATGTGATAAAATGCTTGCTCAATTGACTGGTCGTATAAGAGGGTATCATCAACGATCTTGACTTTCCGCGCGACACCGTCTATGATTTCATCGTAACGGCGTGTGTATGCGTCACCTGCGGCTACAAACCCTTGAGGCATTCGTAGGTACATAAACCTACCCCACTCTGTAATGAACGTGGTTAAGGGTTGGCTTTCGCTATCTAAAGCCACAGAATGAAAGCCATCCACGGCATCAACAACAGACTTCTTGGTGTGTGCTGGTACTTGGGATGCCAGTTGGAATGGAGTAGAGGTGTGGTGAGTTTCGCGTTGACACTGAGCGTTCAGTCGCTGGAAGTCGATTGTGCGTCGTGGAGAACCATCTTCCTTAGAGACAACGACCATCGGGCTACACCATGACACAGGGCTTCCAATAGGTACTGGGGCAATGATGCCTCGTTGGACATCTCTGTCTAAGCTCTCCTTGACCTTGGCCTTCCAGTGGTGGGGAACTGGGATGGGTGTGTGTCGAGCGTAAGGGACAGCATTAGGTTGCAAGTGGATATGAGCAGGCGGGCCAGATAAAGATGGGAAAGGTGGTGAGTTGTTGAAGGCGGTGCTTGCAAACTGCTCTCGAATGTAGGCTTCGAGCTTGGGGACATTTTCTGGCGTAGCAGGATAAGGGAGCTGGGGCGGTGGTTTAGGCGGTGGTGGACGTGGTTGTGCAGTGGGAGGAGTAGAAACTGCTGAAATCGAATTAGCCATTGGTTGGGGGTACTGTGGAGGTAAGATTCTTGTTTCAATACATCCCTGCTTACTAAAATACAGGCGATCGACCTTGTTGCAAATAAACAAGGGCTGAGTAGTAGCATGTCCCTCTATCTCAAACTTGACAGGGATCCAACCGGTGCATGTGAGAATGGAGCCACCGACTGTTTTAACACGTTTGTTACAAGGGCGAAGCTGGTGGGAAGTTAAGCCCAAATGGGTAAGCTGTTTTGGGCCAGCTAAGCAGATATTAGCACCACTGTCAGGAAAGATATGAAGAGGAACAGTTGTGGCCCCTTTCATATCAGGAGTTAGGTGGGCTTGAATTTCTTGGATTGCATTAGCAGAAGTGAAGGTATCACCATCAGTTTGGTATTTCACATGTGCAATGAGTCCACTGGCTGTGCTGGGCTGTCGGCATACGACAGACATATGATTCGGACGCTTGCAGGAGTTACATGTCTTTCCCCATGCGGGACAATGGGAATGACGAGGAGGCATGCCAGGGATGCCATGGTCTTTGCTACCACAACCATTGCAAGTTTGGTTAGGTGGGAAGTTCGGTTGCTTTTGCTTGCGATATGGCGAAGCTCGAGCGGCGTGAACGTCAGCAGAGTGTTGAAATTGAGATTGGTCACGAAGGGCAGTCTCAAACGCCTCGGCATGCTTAACAATGTCCTCGATAGTCTTGAGGTTGCCAGCCTTGGCTAGAATGTCTGTCTGAAGTTGTACGTTGTGTAGCCCACGGATAAACTGATCCCTAATGTGCATTGCTGAAATGTTTACAGAGCATGTAGGGCAAGAGAACTCACAGTCAATAGCGAGAGTTCGTATGCGAACTAAGAAATCTTGGATTGACTCAGACTCATGCTGTGTTAAATTACCAAAGTTCATTCGATGCACGACGGGATTAGCACGTTTCGTCACAACACTTTCGATGGTCTTAAGCATTTGGTCCTCAGGCAACTGTAAAAACTCTGGGAAGGAGTTAATGAGTGTATTCTGAACGGATTCATCACAAGTGCTGTATAAATGCGAGGCAAACTCTGAGGTAGGTAGGCGAGTGATTTTCTTGTATACGGTCCAATCAATGAGGAACTTTCGAAACTGAGGATGTGTCATGTTAGAACTCACTGAAGGAAGCTTGATGGCGGCAGGTGGAGGCTTGAACTGTGCGGCTGTAGACGTAGTACTTTCGACGTGCGGTGCTTGCAGAGCTGGAGAGGAGAGTACAGTCTGGATATGACCAAGAATTGCTAAAACGTCGCCAAGAACGGTAATGTTTATTGCCGTTAAGTGTTCTACAGTTAGCTGAGATATTGTTGCTTCGGTTAATTGATTTTCGACTAGTATTGTAGCGTATTTAGCCGCGATTTCATCCGGAATACTAGCTGCCATGAGAAAAGTCTTCCATGCAGGTTCGTCTCGAAGTCGCAGCGCCATATTTAAGATCAATAATCGACAAGATTCATTCAAACAAAGCTTTATTCGATAAACAAACGAACAGCTAAAAACTAAAGCATGTGGTGTCCGCCATTACGCCTCTGAATCCCCTATACTTCATGTAATAATATTATAAGTGAATCAACAACAACTATAAACATAATAGCAAATATTAAGGTATTGTTCAGTTCTGTGCACGGTTTGACTGCCAAGCTTTCTCAAGGTCTCAACTTGCTGGACGCGGATATACTCTAACGACTAACGGACTAATAAAAGCAACAATTAAATTCTCAATCATACCACGAAGAAGGCGATGTAGCTCAGAAAACAATTACAACGGTACGACCTGATATTAAAAATAAGACTTTTTCCGGCGAAGCAAGTTGGCAGAACATCTTGGCTGTCAACAACAAGCTTTCGAATACATGACTAGTTTGGCTGTTCTTTCAGCGTCGTGTGTGTCCAAATTCGTCAAAGATTTTGATGAAGCCCTTTCAAAATACTGTTTGTTTGATTTATTTTCTGCCATAAAGCATAAAAGAAAAGAAATTCGAAGAAATCGATAATGGAATTTGTTACGTGCGTTTGACCTTTATATTAATTCTCGCCTTGACCGAGCTATTTTTAAAACTGTTTATGTGAACTTGCAACCAATCAAAATCCTTCATGATGCTGATCAACCAATCAGATTTCCCGTCCACCAGGTGGACGGGAATCCCACACTTTAGATAGGTTTTGTGTCAGGCCCTATTCTGTGATAGGGCCTGAACTTCAGGTTAGGCAAACACCTTCACTATGATTGGCGGAAAGTGCCTAAATCTCCCAGGACAATATTCGCATTTCCGCTTGACAAAATGCGCATTTCCGCTTGACAAAATGCGAATTTGCCCTTGGTAACTTGTGTGTTTCAACGATCAAACTGTGCGGTAAATCTTACTGTCTCCAGTGGCGGAAATTCACTTTTTCCGGTGGGGGGGGGGCAAAGCCTCCTAAATTTCCGACAAAACTTTCAAATTTCCGTCGTACCCCCCATTTGCACTAAAAAAAGACTGTTTTTAACCCTTTTAACCCAATTTTCCGTGAAGGTGGGGGGCAGTCACCCCTTCCCCGCCCCACCATGATTTCCGCCACTGACTGTCTCTAAGCTCAACTGCAAATCGCAGTATGTCGAAGAAAACAAATTTTCTTCAAATATTTTTTGGCTTGTCATTGACCAGCAATTGCCGTGATCAGTTGGCATTGCCACAACATATAAACATTTCATGAAGCAATGACTGGGTCTGTGTCGGGAAACATTTTTGGCATCAAGTTCGACCCTGTTTACACAGTACTGGACAAATTTGGGACCGGCCTGAAATTCGTCCTTTTTGGCCGTGTGAACACACGAAAACAACGGAACAGGAGGAATTTGTGTAAACTGTGTAAACAGGGTCTTACATCGTAAAGCAAATAACAAAAAATAGGGTAGGCAGGTAAGCAAACCCCAACCACATCATGAAAAAAATATAAAATAGGGTTGGCTGGAAAACCAAAACCACAGGATATTGTTTTGTTTCAGGCTCTGATGTTCATATTGAGTTTTTCATCTCGCTAACTAACCAAGCTATTCACATTCTTAGTTAAATTCTCATAAATTTTTGTAGATGTACAGTGCAAGTTACAAGAATTTTGCAAGACCTCATGATTATGAAAAATGAACACATTTCAAGATCCTGAATAAGAGGTAAATTTTTCTTCTAATTATTTGTAACTTTCTCCTTGTATTTCTTCGACAATTCTCATAATTTATTAATTGGTTTCATGTTCTCAATAGTGAGTTTTTAAAATTTTCTAGATGTGTGTTGCAGTTTCCAAGAATGTCTCAAGTTGTTGGCTGAAGTGTTTTTGATTACAAAAATGAACACTGTCATTGGAAAGTATATAAAAGGTTTTAATATTTTTCTGTCTTATCTTACATGAAATGTTTTGAACATTATATGATTGCTTGTGATCAATAGTTTCAAAAATCCCAACAGAATATTGCAAAAATAGCATGACCATGTTACTTATGACACAAAATACAAAAAATAATAAACACAATCTTTACGCTCTAAATATGGCGTTATCTTGGGGCGAGGGTACTAATTTTATTATTAGTGAACTTAAGATCTACGACGCGGCCGGCTCAATGACACACTTGCAAAAGAAAGAAATTGTCATGTCAGACAAAAAATGTGAATAATTTGTGGTCCCATGGGTATTCTCAACGGCTTTGCCATTCTGAGCACAACGTTAAACTAAGCATTATCATGTCTTTCATGCAACGTGAAAGCTTACTGCGTCCCAAGAGGTATACTCAAAGTCGAAATTACAGCAAACATTTTGTCGCTTTAGTCAAACTTAGCAGTTTGTAATGTTATTTGAAAAAGCTTAAACATTTATTACTGACTAATTTTGTGTTTTTAATTTAAATCAAGGATCACACAAGAGGTTTTTTAAAGTTGTGCACGTCAAATGTAAGAACAATTTGTTAGCCTGAGGACGGATAGTAAACTATCCGAAATGTAGCTAAAATAAAAGTATTATCAAAAACCTCCTGTGTGATCCTTGATTTAAATTAAAAACACAAAATTATTTAATATGAACAGAGGTGAAAGTTTCAGAAAAGCAATTATTACTGACAGCAATAAAATTGCTTAGCACTCATTCTTGAGCTGAAATTCAGACCGTGTTGTTGAGCCGGCTGCATTGTAGATCTTAAGCTCTCTATTACACCACTATTTCGACTTGTATTAATTTGGAAAATTTCAGTTTCATGGTCCCTCAATTACTTGATTAAGTTTCATGTTGCCACTGATCACGGAAAGTCTATAATTTTTAAAGCATATGATATAAGCATTTTATGAGCAAACCAGAAAATGACAAAGTTTTTGTCAAACATAAAAAAATGAAAAGTTTGTCAGTATTTGGCTTTGTTGCATCAGTTAAACATTGAGAAGATTGAGATGGCTTTTATTACAAACCAAACTGGTTGCTTGCAAATAATGCACGCACTTTATTAGTTTTAATTCAGTTTTCTTTTAGTCATCTAGCTTTCAATTTTCGGTATTATTTTGGAGTATGTTTTCAATATTAAAAGATTAAAAGAACATTGATAAACATTTTTCTCATCATAATTTGTATTTTGACTTATGTTCCATCTCAATCTTCTCTTGTTTAAGTGGACTTTCTGTGTTTGTTGAAAGTTTGGAAAGTTCATATTAAAATTACAATGTTTCTATTAATGTTGATTTGGATCTTTATTCGAGTCTTCAAATATTGAATCTTACAAAAAACGATTAATGATCAATTGAAGTATACAATACTTTTAAAATTAGCACTGTTGGAACTGCCTTGTTGTTCAATAGTCCTGTCTTTGATTATTCCTGGACACAAATAAAATGGATTTGTTGAGAAACAAGGCAGTTCTGTACAGTACTGACTTATAGGAGGGTTGTGTTTTTTTTTTCATTCTTGTGCCAACCACATTGTGGTTTTCAACACAATTTGAGTTTCGGAACAAACC